AACATATTAAAAACAACTGAATTTTCAACAGAAAATATAAATTTCCTAACAGACAAACACTAGGACAAACATGCAAATGAACATTATTTTAAGTTTCGTTCATAATTCTACTTTTAAGTCTAAAGTCAGTCATTATCAAAACTATAAAAAAGGATTATAAATTTGCATACAAGATATATATATATGTAATTTTAAGTGCAAAACAGAGGAGCTTAGTTATAAAAGAATAATTTTCTATGTAATTGAAATTATTAGTAGAGTATATTTTATAACTTTTGTCTAGTATTTTTAATTTCTTAGCAGCTGCAAATAACTTATCTAGAAAATATTCAATAAAGAAAATAAGTAGGGAATTAAAATAATTAAGCAAACAAGGAAGCCAGTAATGGATAAATGAAGGTAACATCTGTAAGAAATTCAGAAAATAAGTTTTTAAATCTTGCCAATAGTAATTCCTTTCGCGGAATATGCATTAAACTTCAATAAAGAATCATTTATTGACCTAAGATTCTTAGAAAACAATTTGAACTATATTATCTAAAATAAACTCCCTTTAAGCATTTATATAATTTGGTGATAAATGATGGGAGAATACATTATTTCCAAATAGTAACCAACAGAATAGCAGTAACTATAATTAATCAAATAAAATATATTTTAAGTTAAAACATCAATGACAAAGGAAAAGGCAAATATGCTTGTAAATAAGTCAATTAATAAATAATATAGAATAACTGTAAACAAATGTGTACTGAACACAAATGCTCTTAAATATATGAGAAAACCATTAACAGATTAGAGAATTAGGTGGTTTTGCAATGATATTATATTTTAATGCACCAATATAAATAATGTATAAAATAATCAGGTTTAAGATCAGTAAGGAAACAGAGCATTTAGATTGTACCGTACATGAGGTATACCTAACACATAAAATACATTCAGGCAATCTTGTCAATAAAATGAAGGACATGAAAGTTCTACAACTAATAATATAGTCAATGACAATTAGATTAAGAACACGACAAGAATGCCTAATATGCCCACTTCCTGTCAGGTCCTCCCACCACCTGCCTGGAAGTCCTTCCTAGAGTAATTAGGCAAATAAGTAAGTAAAGTTATCCAATTGGAGAAGAAAAATCATGGCCTTATATTGACAAAAGCAAATATATCATAAAAAACTGTTAATAAACTAATAAAATAAAGTTGTAAGATATAAAAACAACATACAGTATTAAGTTGTATCATCATTATTTACTAAAAAACATCAATTAATAAGGAAGTTATTTGTTCCTTTATAGCTGCATCAAAAATACCTAGAAATAAATCTAATCAGAAGGCTAGTGGGGGGCCATATTGGAAATGCAAATCAGAACTAGAATTCTATATCAAACAAATGCATTATGATACCTTTTTATCATTTTAAAGCCAACCAAAAAGAAAATATTTTTGAGGATGTGAATAAATTTAAACCAACTAAGAAGTTGGTGGGAACAAAAGACTGTGTAGCCCTTATGAAAATCAGTCTGTATGATGAAACAGTTATTCTGAGTTTATGTTCCAAAGAACTGAAAGCAAAGATTTGAACAGAGATATGTAAAGCCATGATCATAGCACCATTATTCACAGTAGCTGAAATATGGAAACAGTCCAAAGCCCCAATCATGGATAAATGGATAAACACAATGTGATCTGCACAATGGAATACTAGTCATTCTTACCATGGCAGGAGATTAGGATGCATGCTGCAATGGAGATGAACGCTGACACCATTATGCCACTTGAAGCAAGGCAATCACAAAAAGAAGTACGTTCATGTTAGTTTTACTAGTTATATCAAGTACTTAGAATAGTCAAATTTAAAGAGGCAGAAACTGCACTTGGATTTTCAAGGGGCTAGAGGAAAGGAAAATGGGTTGTTTAATGGTTGCAGGATTTCCGTTTTGCATATTGAAAGATCTGTTACATAATGATGTGCATATAACTTTACTGAACTTTAAAATATTTATAATACTTTATGATGTATATTTTACCACATTTTAGATAGAAAGAGTGGTGAAAAATAGTGTGAAAGTCATGCTAGGAGAGAGTCTTGGGGCATTGCTAGCTTTGAGGCAGTGAACTTCTGGAAGCGTGGAAAGTTATGAATGCAGATTCTCCTCTGTAGCCCTCTGAAAGAAAGGCAGCTTTGGCAATAGCTTTATTTTAGGCCCAACTGAGAAACCATTTCAACTTTCTTCCTTCATGACTGAAAGAGAATAAACTCGAGATATTTAAGTCATACAACCAAGGGGAAAATATTAAACATAAAACTATTGTCTATCCATACAGGTACAAGATATATAGTGAAAAGGATTAAAAGCAAAAATTTAAATAGGTATTTATACATCAATGTTTACATTGTTATAATTTCCTACTCATAGTATTAAAATATTGAAAGAACCTCAGTGCCCACATACACATTCAATTCATTATACTTATACAGTGAACTATTAATCATAAAGAAAAATAAAATTTTGATAGGGGTAACATTCTGCACAGGCTTTGAAAACACAATATGAAATATACCAATCACAAATTAAAGATACTGTGTGGTTCCACTTATGTTAGATGTGTGTGTGTGTGTATAATGGCATATTCATTCTTTCCCCAGTAAAGCTTGGGGATGAGTATATGCTGAGTTAATTTTATATCAGTGCAGGATTTTGGTTATGAAATATGCAAAGTATTTCTCTTGTTGCAAAAACTGTGAATGTATTAAATTTATTTAAGACATGTGAGGCAGGACACGATGACAATGATGATGATGAGTGCAAATGGCAAGTTTGGGATGGAAATTACAGAGAGATATAATTGAATGGGTATACGTTATAATATAGAAATGTTCAAGGGATAATCAAAAGAACTAGGAGAAAGTAGCACAAATTCTTTGTCTGAGGCAGAGGATTTAAACTGAGGTCTTCTGTGTCAAAGTGAGAACTTTGTATTTAACCTGAGAAAAATTCAGCAGTATTGTATAGTTTGACAAAGGTAGCAGTGTCTCATAGGATGGTTTAGAGGATACAAACTTATGGGCTAGAAATCTATGAAAGACACTAGTTTTTGTTTTAACCAAATTAGACTGAAGGGAAGTCAAGAAAATACAATTATGTTCTGATTGAAACATGCCAAATATATTCCTTCTTTAAGATATATCCCCAATGTTAACTGTGCGTACATATGATGACAACTAAGATCATTAGCCACTGCATGTTTGGCACATTCAATGTGGAATAAACCACTACTAAACCAGAAGAAATACAATATCATGACTTAATTGCAGTCTGAATATTTTCACTCATACTGCTAATGGATTTTTCCACAACAATTAAACAATGCAGCTGAAAGAAGACATGAAGCAATTGTTGGACTATTTGTACTAGAAAAAAATAAACTTAAACTTTTAAGCAAGAAAATGATTCTAGAACTGGGCAGCATTCTGAACCAGAATGGAAATCACAATGGAAACCAACTTTGATTCAGAATACTGCTTCTTGTGACATATCAAGCTATATTTTATACTGAGAAAAAGGAAATGGTATACAGAGATTATGTAATTCGTGTACTTTATTATTTGCCTTTCCTGGAGATAATCCAATAGCCTTTGTTCTGAGATTCACCGAAGATTTGGCTGCTATGACTGGTGGAGACTCAGATGCTTTGTTACAAGGGTCCACTCTTGTTAGTTTATGATTTGTTTGACTGTCAACTAGTATTCAGTGTACCATGTGTGGAGGCCACTTTGGGCCAAACTTTCAAGTATGGCAATGGGTTAAAGACAGTTTTAACTCATTAACACATAGAATCCTAATTATTGTTAAAAATATTGTGACTGAATTTCACAAAGGTTCTTTTAAAGTCTAAGATTACTTACAGGTCATTTATTTCAGTCACACAGAGAAAGTAGTGTTATCAATAGCATAAACTGGAATAGAGGAAATTGAAAGCTCTATTAGCTAATATTTGGCAAGTGGTTCCTAGAAGGTGACAAAATATTTAAATGTATTTACCAATCTATTTAAGCTTTGAAACATATGCCTGCTTGTGTATCTATTTAAATTCTACCATTGTTTGCTATTGAAAATGCATGTGGACAGCTTTTATTATAAATTCATTAGTCATCCCATTTGCTTTTACACTATGATTAAAGAAATTGAGGTATGTTCATTTCTTCATGAGACTGACATACTGCAAAAAAAGCTATATATACAGTCTAGAAATTCTGTGTGTGTGTGGGGGGGTGTGTGTATGTGTGTGTGTGTGTGTGTGTGTGTGTATGCCAGTCCTGGGGCTTGAAATCAGAGCTTGGGTGCTGTCTTTTAGCTTCTTGTGCTCAAGGCTAGAGCTCTACCATTGGAGCCACAGCTCTACATCTAGCTTTTTGATGATTAATTGGAGATAACAGTCTCACAGACTTTCCTGCCTGGGCTGACTGTGAACCATGATCCTCAGATTAGCCTAGTGAGTAGCTACAATTACAGGCATGAGCCAACAGCACCTGGCTCATGTCTAGAAATTATTCAAGAAATATTTCTAATGTGTTATGAGTACTTGATGAAAAATATTAGGACATAATAATGTGTATAAATTATTTTGAGTCTTGTGCAAAGTTTCCATACCTAATGACATAATTGTGATAGCCATAAGAATCAAAGGAAAAAAGTGATTGATAATTTGATAATTATGTTTATGCATACATCAGTTGTTAGTATGGGGAAGTACACATAGTTAAGGTTTGGTTCTGAATATAAATGTTAACCATGACTTTTTATCTTAACAGAAGGTTGGGAAGAAACCGCTGAGAAATAGTTAAGATTAGAGAGAAAACTAATTTTATTTTGAATTAACGTGTATGTGGAATTTGATATGATTCAATTTGATAAATGAGTATATTTTAGAACAAAAATGAAGTGTTAAAAATTATTTGATGAACCTTATTGTCATTCTCACTTTACTTTCAGATATTATAGCCAGTATACTGAAGAAATGACTGACCAATCTGAGGAGAACTTCTATGCAGTGAATCATGCAAAGCAAACTATCCAGAAAATGGAGAACTACATGAAAGAGAAACAACTATGTGACGTGTTCCTAGTTGCTGGGCACCTACGAATCCCAGCTCATCGGTAAGTATCTTTACGCAGACAGGACAGAAGAAAGAAGAGGTTTGACTGAGGGAAGATCGCTACATTGAGTATGAATTAGAACATTGGGGAAATGCATTTTTCTTTTCCTCCATTGAGAGAACATGAGCCTGTATGATATACTTTTCCATACAGCATTTAGAAGAACCAAACTTTGAAGAGATTGATGAATAGGAAAAAAATAGAACAAACTCATACAGGAAAATCAGTTTAGTAATTTTAACTTTCTAACTTCACTACTCATGAATTGTAAACTTTTCATACATAACATAGACTGAGAAATTAGACAGGTTTGGTGAATGCATTTTATGGTTTTGCTGCAAGTGCCTATGAACTATTTCTCTTTCTAGGCTGGTTCTCAGTTCAGTGTCTGATTATTTTGCTGCAATGTTTACTAATGATCTGCTTGAAGCCAAACAGGAAGAGGTCAGGATGGAAGGAATAGATCCAAATGCACTGAATTCCTTGGTGCAATATGCTTACACAGGTGAGTCCTTGAGATGAGATGTATTAACTCAGAATAGCCCTATATAACATATTGTTATTTCCATATCACAGAGGAGAAAATTGAAGGATAGATAGGCTAAATAACTTTCCCTAGGTAATAGTATTTAAATTCAGTATCATAAAATAACAAGAAATTAAAAAGTGAGAGCAGAGAAGTATTTTAACTCAAAAATAGATGAGCATGCCTGTTGAGTAGGGAAGATACACTTTTTTGTCTCTTTATTAGCTTACATTAGTTATACAGGGATAATTCCCTTGCTACTTTCCCACACATGTTTATAATGTATTCCAACTAACCTCACCCCCTATATTACATTCCTTATCTCCCTTCAGGGTGTCCACATTCTTGGTTGTACAAAACAGACTGGAAGGAAGAACTTCTGATTGGACAGTTGAGATTTATTTGGCGTCTTTCCTATTTACTAAAAGTACAAAAGTAATTGGATTATCCTGTGGGACAAAAATGTACTTTGATTTTCCATAATAAATATATCATTTTAAGTTCTCCTACTGTTTAAATAGATTTATTTAATTATGTATCATTTTTCTTGTAGACAGTTAGAACATACCTCCTGAGTTTCTGCAGGATTATTTTCCAACATTTTTGCCTGCATTGTCCTTAAAATAGTTTTGAAAACTCTTTTTCCCTTATAGGTTTCCACTATTGAGTGCGTTTTTGTGATTAAAAAAATAGTGTTGCTAAAATAAACACCAGGAAACTCATACATGCAAGAGGGGAAGAGGGTAGATGAAGAGGAGAAGAGGGGGTGGATAATGCAGTCAAGAATTCAGTGTTTATACTACAAAATTAAGAAAAATAAGGGAAGGGGGTAGGTCATGCTGTGTGGTTCAGAATCTTGAAAGGGGCGACACTAATTAAGCTGCATTGTATTCATAAACTTTTGTTAAATGGCAACTGCTTTGTATAACTACTTAAAGATAATAAAAATTAAATTTAAAAATAGTGTTGTTACAAAATTCCTAATATATAGTGAACATCTCTATCATTCAGAGGCACTATTGTATTTATGTTTACATGCATCCAATGAAATCTCAATTGACAAATTGATTTCAACAACCATCTCTTTGAAATTAAACAAATATAAGAGTTCTTCAAAAGTCAAGCAAATTTGAAAAAGTGAACCCATTTGAATATTGTTTATAATGTATAGCTTGTAACTGAGCAACACACCTCTACATATATACCTTAAAGATGTGAAAACCATTCCCACACCAAAATATGTACAGCACTATGTAAATCAGCATTTCTACTACTACTACTACTACTACTACTAATAATAATAATAATAATAATACATAGAATTAAAACTTGAGGAATAGATGCATTAACTTTAGTAAATAGGTATAATAGGAAATTAGTAGACAGTGCTAATGAGTGAAATACTGTTAGGTGCTATGAGATAAATTACTTCTAACATCACCATACTAGTGGAAAGAAGCCTGTCACAAAAGGTACTCAATGAATTTCCAGAATAAGGAAAGTCAGAGACATAGGGGGTAGATCAGTAGCTGTAGGTATGCAGGGGATATTGAGAATGACAGTTAACTGATATAGTTTACACTTCTCAGGAGATACTGATTGGTAGGGTTGTCTTTCCAAAACCTGTGGTAAGGAACTACATGAAACAATGCAGATAGACCACACTCCTTTACAACACATTTCACATATTAAACAATGTAGAGAACCCATAACAGTATCTACGACTACACTTTCCTTATAGTTGGGCAACTATATAGGATCTATATTAATGTATTTTAGAAGAAAAAATAAAACATTTTTAGGGCATTGGGACTTGAACTAAGTCTTTTGTGGTTGCTAGGTAGGCACTCTACCACTTGGGCTACACCCTCAAACCAGAAAAAAAACAGTTTATAGTTTATATAAGCCATTTGAAATATTATCTATAGCTTGGCTAAAATAGTACAAAGTAAGAGTATCTGAGAAAGTAATCTATAATATTTTCAATAATCATCCATAATGCTTGTTCTAAAAATTATGTATACATATGATATATATCATTGTAAAGGAAATAATACTTTTAATCACGTTAAAAATCATTCTAGTTATTTTGAAAGAGAGCCTGATTTTTATCTTAAAACAGTTATAAAAATAATTCTTTATTAGTGCTACTTTTGTGACACTTTTTCCCTTTTGAGACAGTGCCAGAAGTCAGTTCCCAACATTGTATTTTGGCAAAGACATCCTCCCTAGAAAATAAATATAGTATTAATTTTCATTTAGTCAGAAAGACATTTATGGACAGAAATAGTTCACTACTCTTCCTATATACTGGGACATAATACTACTTCAGTTATAATATAAACAATCCTTTCTAGATTTATTTCAGTATCATTGACAACTAAAGTTGCTTATTTCATAGTGATATTACTGTATGCTCTCTTGAGTGACCAATATAAGGTTTAAATACAAGCATAAGATGATAAATAACTTGCTCTTCTTTGTACAGATACTATTCACTGTTCATTTGTTATAGTTGCATTTAGTACTGTAGTGAGGCTCCCTTCAGCCATTTTTATTAGTAGGCACAAGATTTCAGCCTCAAAACATTTTCTCAAAGTAGCTCCTATCACTAAATACCTAAAGTGAGAAATAGAATAATTACCCCAGCTAGTATATCTGTGTCTATATTGAATGTATTGTCATGCTGTACTTTTCCCAATTGTCTAGGTGTCCTGCAATTGAAAAAAGATACTGTTGAAAATTTGCTGGCTGCAGCTTGTCTTCTGCAGCTGACTCAGGTCATTGAAGTTTGCTCCAATTTCCTCATAAAGCAACTCCATCCTTCAAACTGCTTAGGCATGCGGTCATTTGGAGATGCCCAGGGCTGTAACAAGCTCCTGAATGTGGCACATAAGTACACTATGGTAAGACTGCTTCAAATTGACAAAGTAGTAATGTATTAAATATTGTGATAAAATTAAATTAGGAAGAAACATAGACAAGTAATTTATAGATGTTTTGCACATAATATACCACATGAATTTATTTGTCTTGCTGATTTATAGTACAGAAAGTTTTTGTTTTTGATGGTACATAAGGTTTTAAATTCATGGCCTTAGGCTTCCTAAGTTTTACTCCCCCAGACCTTTTTGCATGAGTTATGTTTTATATAGGTTCTCCTGGTTTTTTTGTTTGCTTGTTTTTTTTTGTTTCTTTTGGTTTTTTGCTTAGGCCAGCCTTCACTGTGATCCTCTGATTGATAAATTGAGATTCTTATTGGTTGAGATTGGGTTGGCCTCAAAGCATGGTTTTTCTGATTCCCCCCTCCTGAACATCTGGGATTACAGATATGAATCAATATATCTGACAAGTTTTTCACTCAGGACACCAAACACATTTATCTAGATCTCAAAACTTGAAAAACTGAAAAGACTACTCCAAACTAACAAGAGAAAGAAAAATTTACAAGAGAAAGAAAAATAGTACTTCTCTGATATTTTTCATAATTAGAAATGTAACTTATAAAATTGCACAAATGATTTCTAATAATATATCAATTACATACAAGTGAGCATGTAAAATTTTTAGATAGAGATCACAAAGATAAAGAATATTTTTCTAGAGTCTGTATCAAATTTAGAATTTTTAAATCTGTAAAATTTGAGTGCTAGAAAGTTTTTCTTTAACTGTTTTTCTTTCTTTCTTCTGACCTCAGGAGATTGGTCAAATTTTGAGATTTCAAATGTGTTTCTAAAATGGCAATATCAATATCAATATCACTCATTTAAGAAAAATGCTAATATTCATGAATCAATACTAACTAGAAGAGCTTAAGAGTACTAAAATTAGTAACTCAAACAATTTTCTTGAGTGGACTGTTTGTCTTAGTATTTGGGGTTTTAACAAATTTTCAGTTCAGTCTCTTTTTTTTGTGCCATACTTGAGACTTGAACTCATGGCCTGGGCCCTGTCCCTGAGCTTTTTTGCTCAAGGCTAGCATTCTACCACTTCTGGTAGTAAACTGGGATAACAGTCTCATAGACCTTTTTTTTTTTTTTTGCCAGGACTGTCTTTGAACTGTGATCAATAGATCGCAATACCCTTCTCAATAGCTAGGATTACAGGTATGAGCCACTTGTGCCCAGCTTGCAGTTTTATCTTTTAACAAAATTAGTTTTTAATTCTACTTGTAATTATAATGAATTAAGTGAACATGTCAGTCAAGGGGCTGTCATGAAACCTAGACTGTAGGACAGATAAGGAACCTGAACAGAGGTTTTCCTTTAATTTTTTAAACAAGTAAAATAGTAAATGAAAAAAAAAAGATTAATTTCAATGTGAAATCTAATTGAATGATTTTCTTTTCAGATAAGTAAATTGTTTTCATTGTTTAAGAATAAAGAAATAAGTTCTGGGAAGGTGGCTCAGTGGTAGAGGGCTTGCCTTGCATTCATGAGGCCCTGGGTTCAATTCCCCAGCACCACATAAGCAAAAAAAAAACAAAAAACCAGAAGTGGTGTTGTGGCTCTAGTTGTAGAGTGCTAGCCTTGAGCTGAAGACTTCAGGGCAGTGCCCAGGCCCAGAGTTCAGGCCCCACAACCGAAAAAAATTAAAAGAATAAAGAAATAAGACACAATTACATAAAAATGAGCATGTAAAAATTTTGGATAGAGATCACAAAGATAAAGAATATTTTTCTAGAGTTTGTATTAGATTTAGAATTTTTAAATCTGTAAAATTTGGGTGCTTGCAATTTAAAAAAAAAATCTTTTTCCTGGGGCTGGGAAGGTGGCTCAGTGGTAGAGCGCTTGCCTTGCATGCCTGAGGCCCTGTGTTCGATTCCTCAGCACCAAATAAGCAAAAAGAAAAAAGCCGGAGGTGGCGCTGTGGCTCAAGTGGTAGAACGCTAGCCTTGAACTGAAGAGCTGAGGGACAACGCCCAACCCCAGAGTTCAGGCCCCACGTCCGGACCCCCCACCAAAAAAATAAAATCTTTTTCCTTCTTTCTTTTGACCTCGGGTGATTAATAAAATCTTTTTCCTTCTTTCTTTTGACCTCGGGTGATTGGTCAATTTTGAGATTTCAAATGTGTTTCTAAAATGGCATCATTATTGTAGTATCATATTGTAATGGATTAATGTTTTCAAACCTGACATTTCATCAATGCTATTTAAATTCTAGGTCCCCAATATAGATTGTATTCTGTAGAATCTAAAGTAGCAGCTATTCTGTAGGTTTCAAGGTAAATCTTACCACAAAAGCCACACACTAAATACCTCCTGTTAAATAACGTAAATTCTTTTTTTTTTGGGGGGGGAGGGTCCGGTCGTGGGGCCTGAACTCTGGGACTGGGTGCTGTCCCTCAGCTCTTCATCTCAAGGTTAGCGCTCTACCACTTGAGCCACAGCGCCACTTCCGGCTTTTTTTCTTTTTCTTATGTGGTGCCAGGGAATCGAACCCAGGGCCTCATGCATGCAAGGCAAGCGCTCTACTACTGAGCCACCTTCCAAGACCCTAAATAATGTAAATTCTTGAACCTAGGTATTTTAATACCTGATCTAGTATCTTCCTTTCTGGTATCTTATTCTTGAAGGCAAAATATATTCTCATAAACAGCTTGAAACATTTTTTTGTTGCTCAAAATGAATTTGTCATGTGTGCTAATGCAGGATATAATTAAAAATTCAGTCCTCAGTTATATTAGCAATATATCAAGAAGACAGTGAAATGAGTGAAAAGTCTTGTTTTAATAGTATGTTAGGAATACTGTATAGATAGTATAATAAAGCAAATATATATTTTCCAGTTCTGGGTCTTGAAGTCAGAGCCTGGATGCTGTCCCTGAGCCTTTTTGCTCAAGACTAGTACTCTTCCACTTCAGGTACACACTTCTGGCTTTTTGGGGGGATAGTTAATTGGAGATGAGTCTCATGGACTTTGCTGCCCATGTTGGCTTAGACCCATGATCCTCATATCTTAGCCTCCAGAGTAGCTAGGATTGCACATGTGAGCCATTGACACCCAGAACCTAAAGCAAATACATTTTTTTTCAAAACATTGGTGGTACTGGGTTTGGACGCATGTGCTTGCTTAGCTGGTGTGCTACCACTTGAGCTTATTTCCAGGCCAGCCTTTTGCTGGTTGATTTGAAGATGGAATGTCACAGACCTTTCTGCTCAGGCTAGGCTCTACCTAAGATCCTACAGATCATAGTAGCTAAGATTAGAGGCACTAGCTACCAGTACCCAGCTCAAAACAATAACTTAATGTCTAAGAATAATGGCTTAACTTTTTTGTGGATTTAATCACAATCACTAATTGATAGTAAATTGAAAGACCCTTTCTTATGTGGGTAGCACTTTTTCCAGAAATACCCTCACAGACATACCTCAATATTGCTTGACCGATTGTTTGGACTCCCCATAATCTAATCAAGTTGGCACATAAAATTAACCATCTTGGGCATGTAAATAGTTCTCTGCATCAATGATGCATGACCAAATAAAGACCATATTCATTTAATAAATTTATAGCAATTTAAATATAGACCTAAAAAATGAATGATGAACCCAATGCACAAAAGAAGATTATTGTGAAAAGCACATGGAAGAAAAAATATTTACCTTGAAATATCAATATAATTTCAAAAGTAAACATTCAAAAATTAGTCTTCAGGGCTGATGGCATGGTTTGAGTGTAAAATTCCTGCCTAAAAAGTTCAAGGCTCTGAATTCATTGTTAAAACCCTAGTACTCTAGCTAAAATGAAGTCTTCCAGAGTAATTAATTGTCTATAGTAGTGGATTCTGCTGTGTTGTACATATATACTTTGGGGATGTGTTACTGGGGCTTCAACTCAGGACTTAAATACAAACTTCACTCTTGCTTAGCTTTCTTGATCACAGTTAGTAGTACTCTACCCATTGTGGTATGACTGCAGTCCAGCATTTTGCTGATTAATTGGAGATGGAGTCTTACTGACTTTAAACTGTGATCCTTCAGGTCTCAGCCTATTTGAGTAGATAAGATTACACAGGTGTTCCACTCACTGGTATGCAAAATATTTAAAATCAGTCTATTTACTTTTATTTACTTTAATCTACAATGTTCAGTAACTTTCAATAGTTTCATAAAGCAGCAACTCATAAGTGACCATCAGAAAATGCAATTTGTAGCTATGGGTGATAATAGCCATTTATATTAACTTTTACTCTTTCAGATACATCATCATGTTGATAAACTATTCTGTTGTCCATATTAGCATTGGGTGGGTCTTACAAATTGAGATGTGTCTTCATCCTACCTTTTTCCTCTTTCTCTTTTTTCTTTTCTCTTTTGCTTTTATTCCACTGGAGAACAAAGAGAAAGAGTAAAATATGGTTTTAAAAAAATCATATTAACACTTTCTCATTACCAGTAGGGTTTTGTTGTCACTTGGAAAGGCAGAATAGAACTACAGAATAGAATGCTGTAGATATGATATTGGAAGCTTCTATTTGGATCAGACTTTACAGCTCACTGTGTAGGACATCAAATTATATGTGGAGTATGCTTTTCCACCAGAGAGATTTCAGCTCCCCATAAGATCACATTGAAAATAATATAATGCATATGAAATAATTAATAAAGTGCAATGTATTAATGACAGCAGCATTATTTTCTCTCATTGAAAATATTTTCAGCCAGATATGTGGCACAGTAAGAGTATCTTTTTTCTCTTGATTACTTGCCATAATCACAAATGGGTTCCTTTTCTAAATTGTCAGGTTACTTTGGAATAAGATGGTCTCAAATCTTCTTTATTGGGCCATAAAATTTGATGGCAGTGTGTATAAGTTTGTTGTTAGGTTCATTCAGTTCTACAATGACTAAACTAAGGAGGTGATGGAGTGATTTGATTTACCCATAGCCACAAAATATTTAGAGGCTGTATTAAGGTTACCCCTAGTAGAAATGCTTATATCCATTTCAGAACCATATTGTATTGCATTTCTTCTTGAGATATTCACTGTGAAAATGTTAGAAATGATCATGTTTTCAAAGAAAATAAATAGAAAAAATTTGCAAACTAGAAAAATGTGGTGGTATTGTTTTGGTGAAAAATTGAAACAGTTGTGAAACTTGATAACATTATTACAGAAGGGAAAGTTGAGGTATAATATATAAAATATGCATGAAATGGAGCACCATTTCATGGAAGTGTTGAAGAAAATTCAAAACAATAATTTTTACATTATCTTCATTTATTTGCTTGTTAAGTAGAACTGGGATTTGTACTCACGGTGTCTAGCTTCCTAGACAAGCAACTCTACTACTTGAGCCATGTCATAGCTCATTTTGCTTTAGTTTACAAGTAGGGTCTCTCCATTTTTAACTGAGCCAGCCTAAGAATGTGATGATCCTTCTCTTTCATCCCCCAAATTGCTGATATTATCAGAATGTGCCATTATACCTGCTGTTTCTTGAGATGTAACCAAGGTAACTTTTTGCCTGTGCTGGCATCTAACTGCCATCCTCCTGATCCACACCCAGTGTAAATGGAATCACATATGTGAGCCACTACATCTGTCTTTTGATTGTCTTGAATGTGTAGGATGTACCATAAAAGGATGTATTTCAATTTTCCAATAGATAATTCTTTAGTATTAATATCTTTTTTTTCTTTTAATAAGTCTAGTTGCTGTGTCAAATGTGGAGCCAAAGTTAACTTTTCCAGTCCTTCAAAATATTCCATCTTAAAAATGCTCAGCCGTTCTTTTAAGGCTTTTGACTCAAACATAGTTTAGATAGTGCTGGAGTCTGAAGTTGCTGTCATAAGAAAGAGCTGGAAGAAAAAGCCCTGCTATTAGATATGACATTCTAACACCACATGACATTCTACTGTACCAAATATAATCAATAATTTATACAATATGGAAGAATATATTGTCCATATTCATTTAATATTTATTGATTCAGTCACTGTAGTTCTTAAGGGTATTCCTTGTATTTCATAAACATTTCCTAGTGGACACATTTGGCTTCTCAGTTTGGAAGTCTTTTATACACTAGTCATGGGCAGCCTAAAGCAACTATTGAGTATATAAATTCACATATCCATCTTTGTGACTTTTTAGAAGTTTGACAAAGTGATATTCTTGTAGGCTTCTTTTGTTAAAAAGTTTTTTAATTAATAAGTTTTTTATTGTGAAAATACCATATATAGGGGTTACAATGACATGAGCAAGGTAATGAATACATTTCTTATCAAACATTATTGCCTCCTCCTTTGTTTCCCCTTACCATCCATGCCCTCCCATACCCTCCTCCCTGCCAAAGTTGTGAAGTTCGAGTTTTCCACATAACGTCTTGTATATTGTTGCAATGGGTCCACCTGTATCCCAGGGAAAAATCAAATTGTTAAAAAGTTTTAAAGTGCAAAGTTTCAATAGTTGGTCTTTCTTCCCTAGGACAATTTCACTGAGGTGATTAAAAATCAAGAATTCCTCCTGCTTCCAGCTAATGAAATTTCAAAACTTCTATGCAGTGATGATATTAATGTGCCTGATGAAGAAACCATTTTACATGCTCTGATGCAGTGGGTAGGCCACGATACTCAGACTAGGCAACAAGACCTGGCGATGCTCCTTTCTTATATCAGACTACCACTACTCCGGCCTCAGGTATGGAACTTTATCTGGATCATAGAAATTAAAGCTCTACCTATGTACTTATTCAGCTGTCCAATGCATCCTATGAAACCATAGATTTCCCTTGACTCTGCACTTATGCAGTAGTATAATATGGACTGCCATACTGGAGACAGCAAATCCATCCAGAGCTGTGACAACAGTTATCCTAAAAGAATTACAGGCCTATGTAATTTTAAACCCAAGATTCTAAACCTAGAATTCATAGATGAGCTTCAGAATATACAGGGATTTTATATATTGTAAACTTGTACATGTTGTGGTACTCGCAAGCGAGTCTAAGTGACATATCTGTTCTCTGAGACAAGGTATGTATGAGGCAGCAGCATGACATCACTTGAAGGATTGTTAGGAATATAATTTCTCAGGCCCTGATTCAGATGCACTGAAGCAATGTCTGCAAGTCAGGCTGAGGAGTATGTTTTAACAAGTACACCAGATAATTTTTATGCAACCCCAAATTTGAGATAAATTGATATAATGTATTAGAAATCCTCACATTTACACTCACTTATTTATTTGATATTCTTGCAGCAGTTATTCTTTGGGAGGTCTGTTTTCTTGTTTTTTTTTATGGTAATGAGATTTAAACTCAAGAGTCTCATGCTTGTTAGTCAGCTGCTGTACCATTGGAGCCATGCTCCCAGACCATTTTACTTTAGTTTGTCTTCAAACAGGGTCCTCCTTTTTTGCCTAAGCCTGCTGGGACCATGATCCCTCTATACTTCCTGCATTGCTGGGATAACAAACATGCACAATCACATCTAGCTTCTTTTTATTGGTTGACATATGCTCTTGTGAATTTTTCAGTTTCTAATCATGAGCTAATCTCCACCTCTCACATAGCTAGAATTACAATCATGGGCTCCCATGTGTGGCTTGAATTTACAACTCACACACCCAACCAATGGTACTTTTGTCTTTTTACCTATGAGAATGGCTTTTTCCTAGCTTTCAGGTTATGATCTTTTCTTGAGGATGTATTTGATTGGCAATGACATGCAAGTGTAGACTTTAAAAAATCAATTTAAAACTTACCTTAAGCTAATATTTTTGGAAATGAACTGTAACAAGAGGATGGTGATAAATATTTCTACAAAACAGTTAAATATTAAGCTAACAAGGTGGATGAAGCAAGTTAAGTAATGTCAAAATGGATTATTCACAACTATAAAAAATAAACCTGTTGAAATTGTTTTTGGAAAAGAGAAATTGGAGAGGAGGAAAAGGGAATAAGGTTGATTGGAACACATTGTAAACATACATGAAAATGTACCAATGAAATCACCTGTATAATGAATGTAAGCAAATGAAAAATGAAAGTATTTTATATCTTAGTCTTCAAACCTATTTCCAACCACAGAGACAATAAATAATTCCCTAGGGTTTCATCAGGCCATCAGTAATCCATCAGTGATTATAGGTGGTGTGATAAAGCATCTGAAGATGATGGTGTAGAGTAAGAAACCTCAGAGAGGTTTTATAGGGTGGCATTCATACTACCACTCTGACAAACTTGCTCCATGTCCTGTGATACTGTGGAACCCAAACCAGAAGGAAACCAGTTTTAGATGCCCCTTGACAATATTCTGAAATATCCTCTTTACGTCTTTCTACCTCATCTCAGGACAAAAAATACTTCGTCAACTTTCATCAGTGCATTATGATATTATTTTATGCCAGATAATGATTTTTACCATTTACTTTTGATGAGATCTTGGCTGCCTAGAAAACAAAACATATATTTCCTTACCTGATTCAAAGTATGTACTTTCAGAATGTTCCATAGAAGTGATGCCATCTCCTCTGGGTGAGACTATTTTAACAAAGCCTGTTTGCATGCCCACTACCACTATACTGCCTCCAATCCTCCAAAAGTTCACTGCTTGAATGAACTGTGTGCAGTAGACTAGGAGCTGCTTTCTTTGGCCAGACACAACTAGTCTCTTGGATTTGTTTTCAAGTGGTGGGTTCTTGATATAAATGGATGGCATGATTTTTTCTCAGTTGCTTGCAGATCTTGAAAACAGTTCCATGTTTACTGGTAACCTTGCCTGCCAGAAGCTCCTAATGGAAGCTATGAAGTATCATCTTTTGCCTGAGAGAAGACCCTTGATGCAAAGCCCTCGAACAAAACCTAGAAAATCAACCGTGGGTGCACTTTATGCTCTAGGGGGCATGGATGCAATGAAAGGTAAAAAGGAAAAATCAATAGTTTAACCAAATGAATATCATCAAGAGGTTCAAATATGTATTAAATGAGGGAACTAGCCAGGGAGTGGGCTGATGAGTGGAAAAGGGAACAGTAGATGCATATAGTCATAATACTCAATGTATACATATGAAAAAGGAAGGGGAAAATTGAGGTGACTGGTTAGGAAAATGGTAAGTGGAAAGGAAGAGAATGATGGAAGACATGACTGATTGAGATATCCTGTAGACATTAATGGGCATATTAAAGTGTAATCTTCTTGTATAATAATTTGAGGATGGAAAATTTGAAGGCAGATAACTGTAAAAGAAGAGCCACAGGTGTATGTAGAAAAGAAAAACACAAAGGGGCAACTATATATTTTTTCTATTTTTATTGACTACAAACTGTAATGGATTTCTTTATAATATTCACAATCATGTAGCACATTTTGATAACATTCATTTCCTCTACTGCTCTTTTTATCTTGTCTCCCTCTACAACTCTTTGCTTTATCACAGCATGTTCTCATAGTAAATAAGCCAGTTTTGTGAGAGAGCTAACTCATATCACCTCTTACAATCCAACCTATCCCTCAAGTTTTATTACTTTGTGAAGAAATTTTTCAATATAGTTTCCAAAAGATAGTTTCTAGCCACAGGACCCATAAAAAGATTGTGCAAATGCAGTGATTTTTAAACTTGTAGTAGTACCTCAGAAATGTACAAATACAATGACGTCCTCTAATTTCAAGTCTCCAGACGTGATGTTTTACTGCACTGTGTTGAATAAAATGAATACTGGTAGTGTATTAATATGTTCCTATGTTTGGTATTTAAATTCAAAGATACTAACTACAAAATCAAAGTACATTTATTTTGCATCTTTTTTGTTTTATAGTGTCTAGAATCAAAATCAGCAGCTTGCACATGCTAGACAAATCCTTTATCACTGAGCCACATCTTCAGGCCATAGTTTCTGATATATTTTTTAGGTGTAATATACAATTGAGTTTTGGAAGCTTTGTGTTTATTTGGTTTTCTAATGTGTTCGTTTCTATTTTTGTCATTTTCCAGACTTAAAATTTATGTTATTGTTACAGAAGGGTGTGAAATGTCCTGCCCACAGGCCATGAAAGGCCTGTGAAATAATGTCAGGTCATGTACAACAATATAATGTGGAGTCCATCACTAGAGAGCCTTTGAGTTCCTACTATATAGAGACACTGGCAAATTGCTTTCTGGGAATTTGCTGACCATAAAAACTGTCAAATTTTGAGTACTTAATCCCTGACTGGAATTTCAAATACATATTTTCTAATTTTCACCATAATGCTATGAGAGGTACATCTTAAATTAGTTAACCCAAATAAAAACATCTAGAAATGGTAGAAATTGAGTTCTTGCCTAAAATCTGTGCTTTTATCCTATACTGCTACTGTTGCAGAAGAAATAACAAGGAGAAATGATACGAACTACCTTTGATGTGGTTGAAAACCTAGGGTGAGTTGGATGCTGATGACTCATGCATGTAATCCTAGCTATTTAGGAGGTTGAGGTCTGAGTATCACAGTTTGCAGCCAGCCCCAGGAGGACTTAGACTCTAATCTCCAAAGTATTTTCCATAAGGTGAAAGTGAAGCTGTGTTGTAAGTGGTAGATTTAGTGCTAGCCTTCAGCAAAAATGCTCAGGGACAGCACCAGGCCCTGAGTTCAAGCGAGAAAAAAACATACTTCCCAGGATGAACACTGCACTCAGGATCAACAACAACAGAAAAGAATATTTAAAAAATAAAAATCTACATGATGAAAAGGAAAAAGTAGCATTTACTTATATAAATCAATATGATATTGAGGATACATACCATTTCACATTCTTTCACAAAACTAAAAAATTTCTATGCATATACTTTTTCTTTATTTTTAATTTTTCTCAGTTGTGGGGCTTGAACTCAGGTCCTAGGCACTGTCCCTGAGCTCTTTTGCTCAAGGCTAGTATTCTACCACTTTGAGCCACAGTGACACTTCCAGTTTTTGAGTGGTTAATTGGAGACAGGAGTTTAATGGGGAGTTTTCTGCCTGGACTGGCTTTAAATCTCAGCTTCTTGAGTAGCTCAGATTACAAGCCTCACGCACCAGCGCCCAGATTACTTTTTTTTTAGAATTGGTTTGTTAGTGTTTTTTTTGTTGTTATTTTTGTTGTCTCTTTCTTTAAAGAAATTGTTTGAACTTTCACCTTTGATGCTTAGGAAATAAAGTACTTCATCAGAATTTAATTTCTTTTCTGACTCGTACAATAAACTCAGATTTAGTTGTTAAATATAGATATTGCACAAATGGCTAGCACTAACTCTAACAATGCCCCTAAATGATTCCCTAGAAAGTTCTAAGCTTGAATTAAGTTAAAATTTAATTGTCAGATGGTAACTTTTAGATAACTTATACACACAAAGTATTCAGTAATTTTTATTTATTAACAGTAGTTGATTTGGAGCACATTGCAAAGAACAAATGGAAGACAAATATAATTCCTATATGGTCATTTTTTAAATGGTGAAGGAAATTACTATATCAAAGGTACACACAATTGCAGGAATGATAGTGTTCCTAGTAATGATGCTGCTTTGTGGATTTTGTTCATTTTTGCAATATTCATACATGAAGATTTTGTAGGGGTTTAGAATGAAGTAAGAAACAGCATTCTTAATATTCTATGCAGAGAAAGTTCATTTACACAGGAAAAATCATTTAAAAATAAATATCATGCTGGGTGACAGTGGCTCATGCCTGTAATTCTAGTTATTCAGGATGTTGAGATCTGAGGATCCCGGGCAAAGCTAGCATGGGTAGAAAAGTCCATGAGACTATCAAAAAAATTCCAGAAATTGAGCTATGGCTCAAGAGTCAAAGTGCTAACCTTGAGCAAAAGAAGCTCAAAGACTGCACCCAGGCTTTGAATTCAAGCCCTAGTACTGATGCACCAAAAAATAATCAGTAATGATCTAGTTTATGTTTTTCCAATAAAGGTAGAGTTATCTTAGTCAACCAACTAGAGATTTTACATTTATTGATTAGTTAGACAGTTGGTGGGGATGGGGAAAAGGGCTAAGGTAGTCATTAGAATTGAAGAATACAGATCTAGGAGTGAACATGCTCATCTTTTCAATAAAAATGTTTAAGAATGTTGTTTAGTAAATTACAAACCTGGAATAAACAAACCTGGTATAAGGAAGATGTCCACATCTTGTAGATATCTGCTCAGTTACTGGACTACCATGATAAGTTCCATAGTATACTGTCACTAGTACCATTGTAAATTATCACTACTGTCCTAACACATCATCACAAATTTTTGTTGATTTTAACCATCATTATGTTTTGCTTAACATATAGTTAATATGTTCCTATTTAGAAAATTGATACATAAGTGATGAAATATCAAGTGATATTAATATAATATCAGTTGCTGAAAGACCAAAGATGATAGTCCACTGCACCTAAGACCTGTAGATAATATATTTGAACTTAAACAAAATTTAATATGTAGGGTAAACTTTCTGTACATATAGATAATTCATGTAGTATGTACAATTTCCTGATTACTTACGTTACCATTAATATCTGTATCATCTTAACAATTAGTGTAGCCTTGCTTTTATTTTCTCATCTAAATTGGTTCTTTGATAATTTCAATTGGCAGAAACAGAAGTATATGGTAAGAAGTAGCAGATAGGAAGAATGCTTTGGTAAACTGGGATTGGGGAAATGGAAAGATAGAAAAAACCTTCAGGGAAACTTGCAGAAAGCTCATAGAATGAGGGTCAATGTGCGTTTTTGCATATTTCAGCTTCAACAGTATCTTTACTGTTAAAAAGATACTATATTGTGAGACAAATTTGAAGCAGGACAAACTAATCAGCTATAAATCTAGAATATATTGTTTAAATTTTTCTTTATTAATCCATGTAATTGCCAGTGCATATTCTTCAGATATTAACTTTATTTACCTTACTACAAATGGATTAACTTTTCTTGACAAATTTCTCACTGAATGAATAAGTGAAAAGACTTGTTTAGCCCTGTGATTGGCTTTTTGAAATTGTAGTGGAATTCCCTGATTCTTCCCGAAACTGTCTTAGGTAAATTGTAGGTGTGGGTAACTTTTTTCTTATTGATCACATTTGTTATTTGTCAGAAGGGTCCCTGCTGTGCAAAACTGGCTTTAACGAAAACAGATTAGCAGCATTGGCTATGGAAGTGACAATTTATACTTGAATGTACTATAGAGACAACAAAGATCACATGATACCACTAACAGTTTGCAGGCTATGAACATGAATATAAAGTGATACAAGTATGAAGAGCTTTCTTCCTAGTCAGATTAAATAGTGTGGGTGTGAGAAAAGATCAGAGTAGACCCTGGTTTATTCAAAGTCAAGAGAGATGAAGAGAATTAAAAGTTTATTTAAACAATTTATTTGTTTTTTCCCTTCCCCTCCACAACTTTGATGAGGGCAGGGATGGTAAGGGGAAACAAAAGGAGGAGGCAACAATGCTTGATAAGAAATGTACTCATTACCTTGTTCATGTAATTGTAACCCCTCTGTATGGTATTTTCACAATAAAAAAACTTAATTAATAAAACAAAGTTTATGTCAGGGAACAATATATTTGATCATCATAGAGCTTTTTTTAAATTTCAGGTTAAGTATAATCAAATAAAATAGAAACCTTAAGGCAGGCGCTGGTGGTCATGCCTATAATCATCGCTACTCAGTAGGAGCTGAGGATTGTGGTTTGAATCCAGCCCAGGGAGTAAAGGCCATGTGACTCTTATCTCCAATTAACCACTTAAAAATCAGGAGTAGAGCTCTGGCTTAAAGTAGTAGAACACTAGTCTTGAATAAAACAGTGCAGGTACTATACCCAGGCCCTAAGTTCTAGCCCCACAATTGACAAAAAAATAGAACTCTTACTGATAGTAACGAGGATAAAAATTCCTCTGGCAATGGGATATCAACAATAATATGTTTAGACATAAATAATAATGCAGTTAGTAATAATGTGAAATAAAAATAATTAGATAATAAATTTTGTTTAAATTCAAATATATACCGGTATTAGGTGAGGTAGAGTATCATCTTTGATCTTTCAGCAAGTGTTTTATGAATATCAATTGATATTTCAGCACTGACATGCCAATTTTCTAATTAGAAACATTAACTACATGTTAAGTAAAATAAAATGATGGTTAAAATCACCAAAAATTGTGATAATGTGTTAGGACAGTAGCAATAATTTACAATGGCACCAGTGACAGTATACTATGAAAGTTATCATGGTATTCCAGTAATTGAACATAAAATGAGATTGAATTAAGTTAGAAAGTAATGCCTCAGAACTTTATACTCTTAGTCACAATTACAACAATGGAACACTGTGGGCAATTATAGCAAAGGCATGTTTCAAAGGAATTTTCATTCCTCATTCTTCAGTCATCTGTCTTAAACCAATACACACACTTTCACAAACATGCACGTACACACATTTGCCTACATATATAGATGTTTACCCCAAACTAAAAAAACACATAATATATTAAATGGTCATATGTAATTAAAACTGTAAAATATGTGTAAGTATTCAATAGTGGATCAAATTACATACACACAAATGATGCTTAACACTTGTTACTTTGGAAAGATCTTGTAAATGGTTTATTTGACACTTGTCCTTGTTAGTATAAGTAATAGCATAATACAGCTAAAGAAGTCATTATGATGGTTTAACATTTATATATTTAACAATTTTTCTCTGTATCCTTCATTTTTATCCAGCAGTGGTAAACATTTTGTCCTTCAACTTGTCTGTCAGGTTGTAGTATCACCTGACCTAATTAGTGAATTCTGGCTGTTAATTAGATTTAAAACCTATGTGAGGTCAGTTTGAAATTTTACCTTAAGTGATTTTTTTTTCTTCTGTTCACTATCCCTCTAACAGGTACTACTACAATTGAAAAATATGACCTCAGGACCAACAATTGGCTGCATGTTGGCACCATGAATGGGCGTAGGCTTCAATTTGGAGTTGCGGTTATTAATAAAAAGCTTTATGTTGTGGGAGGAAGAGATCGTTTCAAAACATTGAATACTGTGGATTGTTTTAATCCAGCTATCAAAGTCTGGATGGTGATGCCACCCATGTCTACACATAGGCATGGTTTAGGTAAGAACTTGATATTTTTCCGTTTCTCCAGAATGTTGAATATAGCCTTTAAAAACACAAAACTTAGTTGCACATTATGGACATCTTACAAAAACTCTTAAAAATGCTGAAAAGCTTTAAGCAAACAAAGCTAATTTAGAAACTCTTCAGTTATAGCCCTTCCATCAGTTTTTAAGAAATATAGCAAAGATAGGTTTAGATATATTATCAAGAAACATAAAAGTACAACTGAGGGTGTTTTCTCTAGGCTACATTTATTTATTTATTCATTCATTTTTCTTTTAAATGTAGTGCATTCCACTACTTACTTATGTTGACTTTAGTATTGCAAGAGTATGCCCTCTCCTGAGTCATAGCTATGGTTAAAAATATCTATGGTGAGAAAATCATAATTACTTCATAGAGAATAATCAACTTGTCCATATATGGCAAACTCATTTAAGAAGCAACTTTTGAGCATTCAATTGCTTGTAAAATTAAATAAGATATGTTATAGGTGAGCCTCATGCTATTTTTATCATTTAGGTGTGGCCATACTTGAAGGACCAATGTATGCTGTTGGTGGTCATGATGGATGGAGTTACCTAAATACTGTAGAAAGGTGGGACCCTGAAGGATGCCAGTGGAACTATGTGGCCAGTATGTCAATTCCTAGAAGCACAGTTGGAGTTGTTGCATTAGGCAACAAGTAAGTCCAAATATACATGCTGTTCACTCCTACATCGTGTGTCATAATCCATCAATTACCATGCATTCCAAATGACTGAGATCTGTTTGTTATCAAATGTGAAATCTCTTTGTTGGAATGTGTTTATTATTATGGTCATTACTTGTGTAAAATAAACATTCTATTAACTGGAGACCATTGCTGTTCAGTGTAGTTTGTAGTACCAGGATTCCCTGAGATCTCTTTAGAAGTGCTGGATCTTAGCCCTACTACGGACCTGAAACAGAATGTACTTGAACAAGATCTCAGGAAATATGTACGCAAATTTGAGCAGCACTTTTGTAGGCAGGCAGTTTCAATTTTGCTCTTGAGGAGCTACCCCTTTTACATTATTGATTCTTTGGTTATCAAAGTATTTATCTATCTGTGTAACAAGGTAAGTCTTTTTATTCAGCAGTCTCCTGAGTGTGAGTGTTCTAAGTCTGTAAGCTATAGAAACTCACTTTATTAGGCCTTTCTCAATATTCACCTCTTCTTTATTCCTTCTCTGTGAGGGTAGTCTAATATACAAAACTAGATGATGTCAGAGGTTGCCACTAGCTAAACTTGTTATCAATTTATATGTACTTTTTCACAGAAGAACCCTGGAAGTAACTAACATATAGAAGGGGGCTTGCTTGCAAGCTAAGCATTTCAGACAATATAATGGGTCACTGGAGTTGTGAATCTGTATGGCCTTTGCATAAAGCCAATGTTTCATATAAGTGAGTCCAATAGAAATTTCAACATATATGAATTTTGGAACCTTGCTCAGGAAGAAATAGGAATTGTTTATAGTTAGGAAGATATATAATCTCTTAGAACTTAAAGTGTGCCTAAATCCAGTACTATCTAGTCTGATATGAATGAGGTCAATTGCTTCAGCAACCATCACCTACAATGAATAGGCAATTAATCTAGATTCCATGTTTTATGTTTTACCTTACTTGCCTATTAAATTTTTATCATTATAGTGGTAAATAGTTACTAAATGCAGTAGCTTATGATAGGGATTCTGATGTTAGGTTTTTAGACTGCTGGAAAACATCTTTAAGATCATTCTAACAACAATTTTAAGTTCACCTACTTTTTTTCTGTGCAAATTTCTTATGGTATTGCTTGTTATATTATTTCAAAATTACTTGAACAGAGATGATATACCTTTGGGAGTAGGCTAGACCTTAACAGTTGCCCAAGATAGATCTTTTCGCAAACTCAGACCATGCATTGCAAGATAATGAAGTAATAGTACATATATAATACATCAGAATTGTCAAAAACGCAGATGGACATCGTGGCTTATAACTGTAATGCAAGATATTCCAGATTGGAAAGATCACTAGTTGAAGCCAACCCTAGGCAAATAGTTATCACAACCAATAAACTGACATCCCAGCTACACGGGAGGCATAAATAGGAAGATGGAAATCTAGGCTGGTCTGGATAAAAGTCCTATTAAAAAATTGCTAAAGCAAATTCTGCAATTCTCTTTTGTTTTTTGATTTTTTGTTTTTTTTAGATTGTATGCTATTGGTGGACGTGATGGAAGCTCTTGCCTGAAATCAATGGAATCCTATGATCCACACACTAACAAGTGGAGTCTGTGTGCTCCAATGTCCAAAAGACGTGGAGGTGTGGGAGTTGCAACATACAATGGATACTTGTATGTTGTAGGGGGCCATGATGCTCCTGCTTCTAACCGTTGCTCCAGGCTTTCTGCTTGTGTTGAAAGGTAAACTTCTTCTACTTATGTGTGCATGTGACCAGTGGGTTCTTTAGAAATGAGCAAGCTCTTGAAAATACTCCAAGGTGATCTTCCAAATAACTGTTAATCTTTTATATTTACTGAGTCCAAAATATTTTTTAAATCCCTATGAATTTAAATTCAGTATAAAACTTAAAAAAATATGTCTTTGTAATGGTCATAGTATGAATCAAAAAGATTAAAAATAAGGAAAGTTTATGCTAATCTCCCAAATAATTGTTAATCTTTTATATTTAGTCTTAGTCAAAATATTTTTTTAATCTTAGCTGAGTGCCTATTGCTCACACCTATTATCTTAGCTACTCAGGAGGCTGAGTTCTGAGAATCACAGTTTGAACCAGCTACACTTATAAAGCACTAATACAGAAATGGAGCTGTAGTGCAAGTGCTAGCTTTGAGCAATAAAACTCAAGGACAATGCCCAGAGTCTGAGTTCAAGCCCCAGGACTGGGACATTGCTCAGAGCCTAAGTTCCAGCCCCAGGACTGGTACACATATACAATAAGAATTTAAGTTCACTATAAAACTTTATAAAGTAGTCACATTATAGAATAATAAGTCAGGAGTATTAAAGAATAAGGAAAGTTTATGCTGCTATTTCAGTCAATTCACCAGACTCAAAGTTAAATGCAGTTTGAAAAATCATTAACATAAAATACACAAAATTCCCTCATAAACTTGTTGATGATTTTCTGAACAATGACTATTGGAATAAGTAACTACTTTCCTAAAATAAGTTCTTTGAATGTGAGACATTAATTTTGATGAATGGTGTGGCAAGTTGGTTAAATCAAGGGTCTTATGGTCCTATAAGTTTTATTATTTTTCCATTCACATTCCCTTTTAAGATAGACAAAATGTATATACACAATAAAATAATAGTAACGGAGCAAATTTTGATGCTTTTGGTATTCCTTATGTCATTATGATGGATATTCACATTTTTGCCATAAAAACTGTCACTGATGATTTGATAGGAATTGCACTGAACTCCTGATCACATTTTGTAGTATTTTTCAACTTAGAACATTGAGTCCAACAAACAATAAATTAAAGACATGTTTCTATTTATCAGTACCTTCAGTTTCTTCCTACTCAATTTGGATTTTCTTTATTTCTCTTTATTGCTTAATTGTCCTGGCTGAAACTTACAGAATCATCTTGAATAGAAATTTTGGAAGAACAGACTTTTCTTTGCAGTCATAGAGGGAAAACTTAGAGGGAAACATTACTTTTTTAACTGTTCTGACAAGTATTTTAGTATCCTGTCTTTGTGTCTTTACAGAACAATTTCTGGAGATGAATTCTTTTGAATGGGCCTTATTTGTATTTTTTTTTCTGTTTCTTTGTATACCTGTGATCTTTTGTTGAAAGTGGACATATGGAAGACAGACTCTTCCCTTATAACATTAGATTGGGTTCATGTACAAAAATGTCTTTATTAATTAGCAAGTCATGCTCTCTATCTGTGATCAGCTCAACATAAAATCTTCAAGCTTTTTTAGGTTTTTCCTTTAAATGGTGTGTTTGTGTGTGTGTGTGTGTGTGTCCTCATACAATGACTACTTTTAAATCTTTAAATATCCATGTAAGTCTGAGCCCAGTTGTTTCTGAGTCTATTCAGTTCTTTAGCTCACTCATCACTTGTTCTAGTTGTCTACATATCTCTAATCTACATCAACTTAAAGAAGCATTGCCCTATGCCAGTAGAAATATATTAGCCTATTTCCTATTTGCTTTTGTGGAAAAGTTGATGGTATGCGGTACAACATAAAAGCAGTTCCCTCATCTAAAAATGGGAAAAGAATAATATAATCTCATAGGTTATGGGGTTAAAAAATATATGATGTACTTAGCAAACTGTCTACTATATACTAAATCTCAGAAGTTAGTGCCAAGTATTGTTCCTCTCAGTATTATAAAGTTGCAGTTGTTTGTGTTAATGGTCCTTTAAAATTAGTATAAGTTTTATGGCTGTCACTATCCATTACTTCCCTGTCATGTTTATTGAAAAACATTTTAAAAATTGTACTACTGAAGTATAAGTTTCAGAATTTTGTACTAGTACAAAATGGAAAGAAGTATATTATTTGATTTGATTTATGGGTTAATAAAGTAGCTCTAAGATGTTAAAATTAATTCAAAAGAGTATTTGAAGTAAACATAGAAAACAGAATGCTGAAAAAATCTTAATAGAAATTAAAAGATGTAATATATAAAGGAAATAAAACACAGTCATTGAGAATCATTGATGTCTAGTATGCAGATCTCAATGCTACATGGTAAAATGAATCCATTTGTATTAGAACAAATAACCCTTTTTATTATTGTGCAATTCCACATTCTATTATCATAGAATCATGAAAAACTATTTTATAAGTTGGCTTCTTCACATGCAATTATGATACAGCTGTTTCAGTAGGAAGTCAGTCACAGATGTACAAATTATGGAATTAGATATCACCATTTCTTTTCTTGAATGGATTTTCAACACTTGTTTGCTTAAACACTGTTGTTCTACTCGATACCATTGGAGTCTCTTATTCAATTGTATCAGATAAACATTTAACTCAAAAGATTCTAAAACCTCCATATTGTTTGGGTCAGAGACTGTTATTTCTATAATGCTAATAAAGCAAATTGAATTTAGAATTTCAAGTAAATTATACCTAATTCTTCTTAAGTGGGACTATAAGTCCCTGACTAATTCTCCTGTTCTCAGTTTGAATTTTACTTTTACAAGAATATATGTACTTATATCAATAGTAATAGGAGACAGAAAAGAATGCAGTAGCGTCTCCTTCCACACCCCCTCCAGTAGCTGTTGTTATTAGAGTTCATGATTATAGCCATTCTAACTGGAATGGCTAGTTTTGCTTTTATAATTATCACTGCATGTCTTTAAGGATGGTAAACTATATTGCCATCATTTTCTTTTTTTTTCTTGTGAAAATATTGTACAGAGGGGTTACAATTATATGGGCAAGATAATGAGTACATTTCTTATCAAGCATTGTCGCCTCCTCCTTTGTTTCCTGTTACCATCCCTTCCACCTCCCCGCCACCTCCCCTCCTAAGGCTGCATCCCCCACCTTTCCATTTCACCCCTTCGCCATGCCAAAGTTGTAAAGTTCGTTTTTCCACATAACGTCTTGTACATCTCATTGTTGCAATAGGTCCACCTGTATCCCTATTTAAACAATTTATTTCCCTTCCCCTCCACAAATTATACCAACATCAAATACAGTGAAAACGGGTTATATTGTGTGGGAGGGACACACAAAGCAACAAAGAAATCATCTTATAAATATGTTAGAAACAATAGCAAGAAAGAAAAACCATTTGAGTCTTTATCTTGGGGTTCATTTCGCTTAACATCAACTTATCTGAGCGTTTCTGCTTGTCTCAGGCATATACTAGTTATTGCAAATAAGGGAAACCATGGGACGTATGTTTCTTTGGGCCTGACTTACTTCACTTAATAGATTTTTTTTTCCAAGTCTTTCCATTTCCTAACAAATGGGGCAATGTCATTCTTTCTGATGGAGGCATAGAATTCCATTGTGTATTTATACCACATTTTCTTGATCCATTCATCTTCTGAGGAGCATCTGGGTTGGTTCCATATCTTAACTATGGTAAATAATGCTGCAATAAACATAGTTGTGCTGGTAGCTTTAGTATGGTCTTGATCGTGATCATTCCAGTAAATGCCCAAAAGTGGGATTACTGGGTCATAGGGGATCCATACTACTTTCCAAAATGGTTGAACAAGTTTACACTCCCACCAACAATGCAGTAGCGTCTCCTTCCACACCCCCTCCAGTAGCTGTTGTTATTAGAGTTCATGATTATAGCCATTCTAACTGGGTTGTGGTGGTATCTCAATGTTGTTTTGATTTGCATTTCTTTTATGGCTAGAGAGGTTGAACATTTTTTCATGTGTCTATTGGCATCCTTCTTTCCTCTTCAGAGAAGTTTCTCTGTAAGTCTTTAGCCCACTTATTTATTGGGCAGTTGTTTCTTTGAGGATTTGTTGTTGGGGGATTTAATTTTTTGGGTTCCAGGTATATTTTAGATATGAGACCCTTGTCCGTTGTATGGCTAGTGCTGAGCTTCTCCCAATCCATGGGCTTTCTATAATAAACCAACATTTCCTCAGTTCTTCTAGTTAATCAACCAATATACTGACAATATGATTCTGAGCAGTAAGTGACATTCAAATGCAGACAAATGTTAGTGGTTGGATGCAAATGAGTTCTGCTTCCCTATTCATACACTTCCACATGGGGACTGTTACTGAGTGCAGCTTTGCTTAACAATAGCTGATGTTTGGAAGATACAGCTTGGTTAGAACATGCAATTATGAATTTTCTGACTTTGTGTTTTCTAACATTAAACTCAAGATGATCTACTACATGACTATTATATTTAATAGATATTGAGCTTGTCCTTGTGACTTTTTAGATAGCATTAAAATATTTTTGAGCATGAGGTCAAATATGTATGGAAGCTGAGAGGAAATTATTTAGAAAATGTTTACAAAGATAAAGTAAAAATGACAGGTTATAGAAGTAAAATAAATTAGAAACTGATAAGTGAATTTGTTATGTGTGTGCTTGTGTGAAATCAGTCTTCCTCAATGGACTCTGTGTGTGTGTGCGTGCGTGCGTGTGTGTGTGTCAGTGTGTGTGTGTGTGTGTGTGTGTGTGTGTGTGTGCGCTGGTCTTAGGGCTTGAACTTAGGTCTGGGTACTGTCCCTGATCTTTTATACTCAAGGCTAGTACTCCGCTAGTACTCTACTATTTGAGCCACAGCTCCACTTCCTGCCTTTTTGGTGATTAATTAACCATAAAAGTCTCATGGACTTTCTTCCCTGGGCTGACTTTGAACCTTGATCTTCAGATCTTAGCCTCCTGTGTAGCTAGTATTACAGTCAGGAGCCATTGGTACCTGGGTCCTCAGTGGACTTTTAGAAGCAGATAGTGGGCCTGGGCACTTTCCCTGACCTTCTTTGGCTAAAGATTACCACACTACCACTTGAGCCACAGTGCCATTTCTGTGATAATTTATTTTTTTAATGGAGCAACATTCCAGGAACAGTTTATAGATTTCAATTTTACATATTTTTCAAACATACCTTAAGAGTCAGTAAAAATATTAGGGAGGATTTTGTTTTTATTCATTGAATTACTGTTCATTGTATTTACTGAAAATGTTGAGTATTTATAAAATTTTAGTATTAACAAAAATTAGCAAAAATTGAACAATTTAACAAAAGTAAAGTTATTATGCGATATAGTCTTATTTATAGATCAGATCAAAATAGGGTAATTAAAATCTTAGGCTCCTGTAAAGATATATAAAAACACAGACAGGAAAATACAAGATAGAATTTTATTCATTCCATTAGAAAATAATATCAAAATTAGAAAACTAAATTTACAAGCAAACCTGAAGCACTTTAAAATTTGAATTATAATAGAAACAGAATCATGCTTCTCAGGTCTAATTTTAATAGCCAAATAATAAAATGTAACGTTATCAATGTTTATACTAAATGATACTAATATGAATAATATGATATACATTAAAAAATAATGTTGAGATCTGAATATGTGAAATTTCCAAGAATGAGTTCTAAAATGTAGTTAGGAAATCTTTTTTTAAGTATGCTTTCAGCATCCTCTAGTGGCCACATTGAATTATGTCATGCACATACTCAACCTACATTGACAATGGTTTTAGTTCTGTTTGCCCTAATAAGTATATATTTCATTATTGATATTATTTTATACTGTAAGATTGTTGGATTTTCTTTCCTAATTGCCTTCCTAAATCTCTTAAGATATGATCCAAAAAGAGATTCCTGGTCAACTGTAAGGCCCCTGAGTGTGCCTCGAGATGCTGTTGCCGTATGTCCACTTGGAGACAAATTATATGTGGTTGGAGGATATGATGGACATACTTATTTGAACACTGTTGAGTCATACGATGCTCAGAATGATGAATGGAAGGAGGTACTCACCAACATATTCATATTTGTATATTTCACATTTTAATGTTTATTTTTAGTATTAATTGTACATTGTTCCTTACCATGTCTTAACCATATGCTTTAGTGAAAAGGAATGTATGTGTTCTATTTATGCCTTATAAAATTACTAGGGAATGTAGTTGACCATTAACAGGATACTTCAGTACCTATATGAAAGAGGATTATTCTTATGGCTTCATGGAAGTATTTCCTTCACAGAAAAGAAGTTAATCTACTTCAATAGTTCCAGAGCTTCTCTCTGGGAAACTACCTATGTAGGTATTGTGAATTGTGAAATGCACAACTATGTTCCTTTCTGTGATTTAATTCCTTTATTGGCTGAGAGACTGTGAATGTCCATACTCGTAGCTTCTTCAGTTATTCAAAAATTTAGTGAGCAGAAAAATGCCAGAATTAAATATTCTCAAAAGAATCATATAGAATACCTAAAAAATATGGTACTGAAAAAGAAGGTCACTGAAAGCGTATCCTAAAGATGCTAAAAGAAAATTACTTTTGGAGGTTGGGGTCAAGGGAAAGAGGCATAGACAAATGAAGAGAAAGAGGGAAATGCAATAAAAAATTCACTATATATATACTGCAAAATTAAGGAAAGTAAGTAAAGGGATAGGTTGAGAGAAATGGGTAAGAGTGAAGAATGGGGTGACAGTGATCAGTATTCATTGTATTCATAAAGTGCTTTGACAAATGGCAGCTCCTTTATAAAACTACTTAAAGGCAATTGAAAGAGTGGAGAGTAGGATGAGATGAGGAAGACTTACATACAGAAAGAATTGTACAGATCTCTAAGTGTTGGAGCACATTTTTGAATGATATGCCCACACTTGTTTCTGTTATTTGTTGAAGAGGACCCTCTGAGGTGGATCATAAAACATGAACTTTTGTGAGCACTTTAGAGCTTGACTTGATCCTTCATTTTCATCAACAGATATTTACTGAGTGCTTAATATATGCCAAACTGCTGCATGTATAATAGATTTTAGGGAGATTTTTCAGTAGCATATTTTAAAATATGAAAGAACCATGGCAAAAACTAATTTAGCAAAAAGAAAACCCACTTATCCACACATCCCATTCTTTACAAAAATAACACTGTTGATCACAGAAACTATCTAAGGCAAATTAATCTCTAAACTGCTAGGAAACTGAATACTTCTAATATATGAATTTATTTTCTAGGCATTGTATAAAACATTGTGCAATGTACTTTCTTAGAGGGGCTATTTATCTTTCTGTGAATGTATAAAATAAAAAGAAATTAAAGAATGAATAAAGGACCTTTCAGATATTTTTCCTACTGGTAGGCTTAGATTTGTATATATAGGTGATTTGTCAATAAAATTATGAGTTAATATAATAAGGTATGATAACTTGTTTTGTGTGTGTGTGTGTGATGGTTCTGGTGCATGAATTCAAGACCTCACACTCTGTCTTTTTATTTTCACCCATAATTAGAGCTATACCACTTGAGCCACCTCTCTAGTTCATGTTTTTAAATAGTTAATTGGAGATAAGAGTCTCAGGATTTCTCTGCCTGGATTGTATCCAGACCATAATCCTCAGATCTTGGCCTCTTGACTAGTGAGTATAGATAAGCACATGCCACCAGCACCAGCTATTAAATTTACTATGTACACAAAGAAGTTGACAAAAGGGGTTCTGTCTGTCCCTTCAGAACATCTCAAATTCTACCTTTTAAGTAGGTCCTTAACTTTAGCATTGCTCAGGACTAACCAGAAATAGGGAAAAAATTATTAAACAGAATTTTAGGTAAAAATAATCAATTTATTAATAAATTATCAGTGTAATATTAAATTCCAAGAATATATTGGAAAATTCTAGATCATTTACTAAGAGCTCTAGATTATGTTCTTGGGTCTGTCACTATTTTAATGTATGATATTTGGAAAGAGTAATAAGAGAACTAACAGTAGTATCATATGTCAAATTCTTGTCATTCATCATTTTCTCCATTTCTCACAAAAATCTTCTTGGGTATTATTTGCTGTAATCTTTGAAGTGTCCCAAGATCACATGATCTTCAGATGTAAGTCTGTTATTATGAAAGTAGATTATTTCGACAATCATACAGTGTTTTGCAGGGTGCAGTTTTTCTTATTTTTATGTAAGGTTAAAATTGGAACAAAAACAGGAAGGACTTTTTAAACTCTGACATTCTATAGTATGCTAAAAATGCCTTTCACACAGTGTTTCTTCTTTTTGTTTTAGGAAGTTCCTGTTAACATTGGAAGAGCTGGTGCATGTGTTGTGGTGGTGAAACTCACTTAAAACTCAAAAGAATGGCAGCAGGATAATTTCAAGAAACAGAGCAGGTGGAACAAGAGGAAAAAAAGAAAAAGAAATAGGACATTTTCTTCACTTCATAACCAAACTTGAAAATCATTGCGTCAGTTTAATATGTTCTCATTTGTGAAGCTGGAACCAATTTTAAACATGAGCTACATGCAAATCTTGAATATATATGTTGTCAGAGCTGATAATATAAACAGAAATCCCCTATGCTAGCTTTTGACTCTTTATGGTAGCATGTTAAACTACTTAAGCAAAATTGATAGTGACTGAAGTGTTAAGGTGAGAAAAGCATCATTAGTTTTTTTTTTTTTTTGTCGGTCGTGGGGCTTGAACTCTGGGTCTGGGCGCTGTCCCTCAGCTCTTCAGCTCAAGGCTAGTGCTCTACCACTTGAGCTACAGCGCCACTTCCGGTTTTCTGGTGGTTTATTGGAGATAGGAGTCTCACGGTCTTTCCTGCCCGGGCTGGCTTTGAACCGCGATCCTCAGATCTCAGCCTCCTGAATAGCTAGGATTACAGGTGTGAGCCACCAGCGCCCGGCTATCATTAGTTTTTTTAAGTTAAGAGCCTGAGAAGATAAAAACAGTTTGTATTTAAGAAAAGGTAGTCTGTTATTTAGAATATAACTTAATATCAGAAAAAATGTCTGACCCTTAAAATATGAAGGCTGATTTTCAGGGACATACCATTGTCTTATTCAAACAATAGCCAAAATACCTAAATAATATCTCACATTAACCTGAAAATAAGGGTTTACTCTATCAAGGCTTAAAAAGCAGACTATTAGCATAATTTACCATGTTAATTATATCAATATTTTCCAAATTTTATTCTTTCCATAATTGACAGAGCTATCAAGTAGATTTGATAATTCTTAACATATTGCATTGTTACTTAGTTACCCATAAAATACTATTGTAATGCCACAAACATAATCCATATAATAAAACAAAGAATATTTATCATATTGATATAAACTGTGACCGTAGCTTCCTAGTGTCAGGGGCTCATTTGTAGAGAAAGTAATGTTCTCCACAAATATTTGTCTTTGTAAACACCTACATTTAAGTTAAACAACTTTAAAAATAATGATTTTACCAAAGAAACAAAAAAATTACATAGTACCTTTAAAACAAGAGCAACAAAGAAAAAACCTCTTGTGTCCATATCTTGGGGTTCATTTCACTTAGCATCATCTTATATGGTCATAAGTACATAGCTTTTGGCCTTTTCTTCTTATCTGGTATAACCCCTTTTGTCACTATATTTGATTCTGGTGCCCTTCATCTTGTATGTGCATTTTTCTAATTTGGGGAGGGAAAGGGAAATAATAAAATGCTGAAAAGGATACAGGCTGACCCATTGTAACAATGAGACTATGTTGAAAACAAACTTTAGAACTTCAGGGGTGGAGGGTAGGAGGAATTGGGGAGGTGGGTAGGGAAGGTATGGTGGGGGAAAACAAAGGAGGGGTAACAATACTTGATAGGAAATTGACTCATTACCTTACTCATGTAACTGTAACCCCTCTGTACAATATCTTTACAATAAAAATAATGATTTTTAAAATGCATTAAAATTGAGAAGTTACATAGTATTAACATGGAAATACCAAAATATTTCATATATATGGTCCATGCTATAGTTAGGTTTTATGTACAAACACATGCCTTTATGTTAATGTTATATTTATAACATCACTAGACTCTTAAGGACATATGTTCTGCAAAAAATACACCTTTTAAATAGAAAAGTAACAAAATCTATTTCAGTCATATTTTAACTTTAAATTCTTATTTCCATTTAGTCCACGTAGTTACAAAATTGTAAGGCAAAATATTGATGTGATACTCTTTATGAAAGTAGCTTTTCAAATCAATGTTCAATTTCAGAATTTCTATAACATGTTCTATTAAATTAACTTTATATTGTAGACTGTTAAACCAACAAGTAAAATCCAGAGTGATACTTATAAACATACTGCTCTGTAGTCATTTTACAAAGGGACAGCATACGTTGTAGAAAGATATTTGTACTTTGACAAATTGAATTTAAATAAAAATCTTTTTCCTGTAGTTATAAAGAGTGTGCAGCCACCATCAGGTTTAGAAGGTATTTAGATTTTCATGAATGCTAGAAGACATACAGATAAATTGAATCACTCCACATGGTATATATGTCCCAAAACATCACATTACTCCTGATAAGGTAATTATTTTTTCAATAAAAAATAAGTCACTCTAGGCATTAGTGGCTCACCCCTGTAATCATAGGCATCTAGTAAGCTGAAATCTGAAGGGATCATAATTTGATCTTCTGTCAGCCCAGGCATAAATGTGTGTACAACTCCATCACCAATTAATCAGCAAAATGCCAAAGTGGAGGCATGGCTCAAGAACCACCATCATCTCCCAGCTTTGAGTAAGAAAGCTGATTTGAGAGAATAAGGCACAGACTTCAATCCTTGGTCCCTGCATCATCATCATCATCACCATCATAAACCACACATTGGTGGCTCACACCACTGATTCTAGAGATCTTGAAAGTCGCAGCTCTAGGCATTCTAGGTAAAAATTTTGGCCAACTCCATCTCTAAGGTAGCCAGCAAAAAGCAGTGTTGGAAGCATGGCTCAAATAGTATAGCATCAATATAGCATTCACAAGAATCTGAGTTCAAACTCCAAAATCCCAAGGAAATATTAATCAAATTAATCAAAGTACTTTTTGGTGTTATGTTTTGAACACAAGGCCTTGTGTTTGCCAAAGAAATGCTCTGCTAATAAGCAACACCTCTAGCCCATTAAAAAAAAATTAAGCCTTTTCTCCCTTGGCAATACCTGTTTTGCAGTATGGTTGTTACAGACAAGGAAAAAGAATCCTAAACTAAGTGTTAAAATAAATATTGAACAAGTTTACACTCCCACCCTTGCAACAATGAGATGTACAAGTCGTTATGTTGAAAACAAACTTTACAACTTTGGTGTGGGGGAGGGAAGAATTGGATGGGGGGTGGGGAGGATGGGAAGGGGAAACAAAGGAGGAGGCTACAATGCTTGATAAGAAATGCACTCATGTAATTGTAACCCCTCTGTTCAGTATTTTCACAATAAAAATAAAAAATGATCTTTAAAAAAATAAATATTGACACCATTTTCGCATTCCTATTATAGTTCTAATTATCTCCCTTAACATGCATGCATCTGTGTACAAAACAGCATATATGAACCATGAGGCAAAATAAACATTCATATTCTTTTAAAATAGTATCTTGATATATATGAATTTAATTAGTGTTTTATGTCCTGCAGACTATATATATAAATTAGCCTAAATGTATGGAATTTATACTAAACCCAGACCTATAAAACACATAAAATATTCCAAATGGTAATCAGAAATTATTGGCCTCTGCAAAGTCCAGCTGAACTTGCCAAGTATCCATTTTATCTAATGTCATCAAACAGCCCCTTTCCATGTGCTATATTCAGTGCATATCACTGTGATTAAACCATCCCACCTGACTTGGAATGAGTTATATTTTACAATGTTGATACAATCATCAGAGCATGTCTCTTCATATTTTAAAATAGGCCTAGAAAGATAAAATCAGATGGATACCTTTGCAAATCATATGTTCATGAATCTATTAGATGGATTCAGTTTTGTCATTTCTGCACTAATGAGATGAAGCTGGAGAAGAAGTCAGGCTTGAATAGTCCATCTGATTTTATTAGAGCAATCCTTGCCAGGCTAATGAACTTTAATGTGGCCAAATGAGGGAAGTTCTGAATGAGTGGATATAGACCATGCTTTTCCACTAATTTGTCTTTCGGTGGCTTAAAGTTTTATTCAATTTATTGCTAATGCATGTGCCGATTTTAGTGTAAAATTAGTGTTCAATACATAGTTTTGGAGCCGGGCGCTGGTGGTTCACGCTTGTAATCCTAGCTACTCAGGAGGCTGAGATATGATGACTATGGTTTAAAGCCAGCTGGGGCAGGAAAGTCTGTGAGACTCATCTCCAATTAACGACCAGAAAACCAGAAGTGGCACTGTGGCTCAAGTGGTAGAACACTTGCCTTGAGCTGAAGAGCTCAGGGATAGCACCTAGGCCTAGAGTTCAAGCCCCATGACAGACAAAAATTAGTTTTGGAAAATAATAAATTCATAGATTTTTAAAAATGAGATTGGAGATTGTGTTTATTTAATAAAAATGCAAGACAAAACAATATTTTACGTTTATTGCTAAACTCAAGGTGTAAAATCAAGTCTTTAGTTGCCAGGGATTGAGAGGGAATTTAGAATAGTAAACCCTAGTAGTAATGGAGATAATCTTAAAGTTAATGAACTACATTCGGGAATGTGTTGTTTATTTTATTTTATTTTATTTTTGTCGGTTATGTTGTATCAAGAAAAAGTTGACAGAAGATAAGGTCTTTAAATAGTTGTCAGATGAATAAAGCAAGTTAACCAATCTCCATGCATGCTTCATTTTATTCATAGTATTAAATATAGCTCTTTGTCCTGTTTTGTATCTGGGACAACTCAAACTCAGCTGATTTCAAATGACTCCAATTCATCTTCCATGTACTTGATGAAGTTGTTGTTGAAGCTACCTGCTACTTCAGTTTTGCTCATTATCTCTAGAATTTGTGTTTTTGTAGTATGTCTCCTCATTGAATTTCTTATTTTCATGTTTTCCCCTATATTTGTTGCCTATTTTTTTCCTCATTGTTCTCTTGCCAATAAGTTTCTGTAAGACAATTAATTGGAATTGTTGTCAAGTATTCAGCCTATTGGATTAGTTACTCTCATTTTACTTTTTTTCTATATAGGGTTATGAGTTTTTGATTATTGGTGGTCCTTGTGGACTTATATTGGTAATAAAAAAGTAAATATGACATGGAGACATCAGCAAGGTGTGGAGGAGGCTTTGGAATGGAAAGCCAGAATGAAGCAGGGATCTGATGGCCTTCATGAACAAACTTTATATTCATGTCCTTATGTATTCTGTCTAACCTAAAGCCTGGCCAAGTAGGTGGTTAGGCTTAGGTCCTGGGCCCAGATAAAGCCTGGGCTCCTTTGGGACAATCCAATGTTAAGGAAAACTACAAGCCTGAGACTGCTTAAGTAGATCTGGATCCTGGATTAGTGGGCTGTCTTCGAAACTGGGTTTCTGAAGCAATCAGTGGCATGTGTTTTGGACCCTGAGGCTACAGGGGACGAATGCCACTTGGAGTGGCCATGAGTTTGGTACAAGCTGGATTCATTGGTGCCATGAGTAATATGAAATTATTT